AAATCCTTGTCTTGGATCAACTTCATTGGCTGATGGGACAGGGTTTTGTTATCAGAAAACTTCAAATTTCATCAGCGGCTACCAGTCGCCTGCACTTCCTAGCACTTCCTTTTTCAAGATATGCGGTCAGCCTGAGCCTAATCCTCCTGTTTTATCAGCTGACAATGTGAAAAGGGATGGCTGGAGATTGAAAGCGTGGATAGTTGTGGTCGTGGTCTTGGTTACCATTTTGGGTTTGATCTTAGTTGAAGGTAGTACGTGGTGGTGGTGCTTTAGGGATAGCCCGAAATTTGGGGGAATGTCAGCTCAGTATGCACTTCTTGAGTATGCCTCTGGTGCACCTGTCCAGTTCTCATATAAGGAGCTCCAACGGACAACAAAAGGGTTTAAAGAAAAGCTTGGTGCAGGAGGATTTGGGGCTGTCTATAAAGGGGTTCTTGCTAATAGAACTGTTGCTGCAGTGAAACAGCTGGAGGGAATTGAGCAGGGTGAAAAACAGTTCAGAATGGAGGTTGCCACAATAAGCAGCACCCACCATTTGAATTTGGTTAGATTGATAGGATTTTGTTCTGAAGGGCGTCACCGACTACTGGTGTATGAGTTTATGAAAAATGGTTCGCTGGATAACTTTCTCTTCACCAGTGAAGAGCATTCAGGAAAGATATTGAGTTGGGAATCTCGTTATAACATTGCACTAGGGACTGCAAGGGGGATTACATATCTTCATGAAGAGTGTCGAGATTGTATTGTGCACTGTGATATAAAGCCTGAAAACATTCTCTTGGATGAAAATTACAATGCCAAAGTATCTGATTTTGGCCTTGCGAAACTTATTAATCCCAAGGACCACAGGTATCGAACCTTGACAAGTGTAAGGGGAACAAGAGGATATTTGGCTCCTGAGTGGCTTGCTAATCTTCCAATAACTTCAAAATCTGATGTATATAGCTTTGGGATGGTATTATTGGAGATAGTAAGTGGAAAAAGGAACTTTGAAGTCTCAGCTGAGACTAACAATAAAAAGTTTTCTTTGTGGGCTTATGAGGAATTTGATAAGGGCAATACTGAAGCAATTTTTGATAAACAGCTTTCTAAGAATGAGATAGATATAGAGCAAGTGATGAGGGCAATTCAAGTTAGCTTTTGGTGCATCCAAGAGCAACCATCTCAGAGGCCTGTAATGGGTAAGGTTGTTCAGATGCTAGAAGGCATTACTGATATTGGTAAACCACCCATTCCTAAGGGTGTCACAGAGGGATCTGTCAGTGGGACTAGCATAAACGCTAGTAGTATCAGTGCCTTTTCCACAATTGCAGCTTCAGCTCCAGCTCCCTCGTCATCTTCGTCAGTTCAAACTCCTGGAATTTTGTCTTCTGTTTCAGCAAGGAATACAGAGAGAGCATCTTCATCACTTCTTCAGTCCGAAGCTAAGTCTGCATTATGATATGATTCACAGTTTGCCAGCAGGGAGTATTTTTCGGATTCACAAAAGTCAGTCTACTGGCAGAAGATTTGGTAATTTTTAATTTGCTGTAGTAAATTATTTGGTAATTGTATCTTGCAATACTTATAGCTAGTGCAACATTGATCACATGTGTATGGCTTCGAAATAGAGTTTAGCTGCTTGTGAAAGTGTATAATTGTAGTACAGAACATGTGTAAAGGATAGTATCTAAAGTTTTAAATGTCAGAATTTACTGCAAGTTTAAGTGTGAAAATTAGACAGCGCTAGCAAGTTCAAACAAAAATATTAAAACAAGGTTGAGGGTCTTGACGTCACTTGGCTATAAATTTGCATTGACCTTCATTTTCAACACACTCTCAAAGCACTTGAAGCAGACCCAACACAGAAGATTAGATGAAACCTCTGCAGGCCTTCATGATAATTGTGAGAAAAGAAGAGGGACCTGTAGTCAAATTGCATGAAGCACTCGTAAGCTTGATCATTTAATATTGTGATCCACTTGTTTATGGTTGTTTTTTCGGTCACTCGTAAATATTTGCTTCTGTCTCATAGTAACTGTTTGATCTTTTCAACCAGTGGATGCACTGCCTAAAATAATATTGGTTTTGATATATGGTCTGCTTAAGTTTTTTCTTTTAGTTAATTTGAGCTAAGAGCGTTTTTGACGACTCGTTTTCCTCCTTGAGATTAAGAATTAGGGGTTTCTGACATTTTGCTGTTTCTTTTTTCTCAAACCAAAGAACGATACTTGTTGAAATGAACTGGCTACCAGCGTGTAGCTTTTGGAGACTTAAACTATTGTAACTTATTCTTGCTGCATGGATGTTATTGTTTCCAAAAGTTCTAGAAGACCTTACCAAGTAGCAGCATATTGCAGACACCTGACATAATATTTGATTTGCTATATGGTCTGCTTGAATTTTTTCTTTTAGCTAATTCAGGCAACAGTGTTTTTGACGACTCTTTTTCCTCAAGATTCAGATTTAAGGGTATCTGACATTTGCTCTTTCTTTTTTCTCGAATCAAAGAATGATACTCATTCAAATGAACCGTCTACCAGCATGTAGCTTTTGGAGACTTAAACCATTGTATCTTATTCTTGCTGCATGGATGGTGTTATTTCCTAAAGTTTCAAAAGACCTTGTCATGTAGCAGCATATTGCAGACAGTATAGTTGTTTCTCAAGGATATAAAAGGTGTGAAAGAAAAACTGACATAATTTTTGTGAATTGTACAAGGAGATGTCGGATTTAATTGGTTTTTTGGGTGACATACATGTTGCATTTAGTCTATTGGTTTTGCTTTTGTTCTTTCTCGTATAAATTTTCTGTGGTTTTTCTGTTTAGGAGATAGCCTTGGTTAGTGGATGGGTTTAGTTTTTCTCTCCTTGACTGTAAAGTTAGGAATTGAGTGTATCATAAGAATGTATTGACGTAGTTCAAGGTAAAATTCCATCAGACAACTTCTCGTATTTCCTCCTCCCCCTCCTCTCTCTCTCTCTCTCTCTCTCAGCAGAAGAAATTTTAGGTGTTTTCTCAAGTTATGTGGAGGGAAATATACATTTCATGATTGCTGTCTTTAGATATCATCTTAGGAGTGGACTTTATTTGTTGATTGAAAGGATGCTCTTATATGAGAAAAGGTGGTCATAATTTAGAAGTGACTTGAGACGTTTGCTACAAGAATTCTGATCCACTTTTTAAAGCTATTACAAGTGCTAGCAGATAAATGGTATGTCGAAGCATTCATCCAACAATATACATTGGACTTTTGTTGAGAAGGTCTTGATCTAGTGGTTAAGGTTGAAATTCCTGGAATTAGAGGACCTAGCTCAAATCCTCCTTCCCCTTCTCTTCTGCTAATATCCCATTCCTCCCCTTGTTAGGAAAAAGTATATTGGATTTATTTTCTGTGTAGTCATTTTCTGAATTTTGACCACATAATAAATTGTTAGATTTCGTGGGGTTTTATCATATACACGGCATACATTTTAACCCTATTCTCAGAAAAAATGTGCAAGTGACAAAATCTACTGTAAGACTGATCTACGTAAGTTGATTAAGCTATTTGAATATTTCTGTCAGCTTTTCTTTTAAGTAGCATCTGCAAGGTAAAACTATACGAGAGATTACAGATTGTAGCTTTCGATATAAGTATGTCAATGAGTAGGGTTTGGATTGGATTCTTTTGATCCAAATTTAAATCCATTAAATTTAGGTAGGCCCACATCTAGATCGAAATCCTTTAAAAAAGTTAATCCAAACCCAAACTCTCATGGATTTGGATATTTGATGGATTTCCGTAGGTATTTTTTTGAACATACAGTGAAGAACTAAAGTAAAAATGTCTTAAAAATATATAGTGTTAAAAAATAACATAAAAACCAGCCAATTTTTGTTTTTAAATTAATAAAATAAACAGCCATGAAGTGTTATTGTATTAAATCCAATGGCCATATAATATTAGATTATTATATATGTATGCAAGCGCGCGCACACACATACAAACATACATGAGTTTTGGCAGGATCTGATTTGAATTTGAATTTGCGTATGGATAATAGAAAATCAAATCCTATCTAGACCTATAAATCTCTTATAGGGTTTAGGTTTGGATTTGAGAAAGTAAATGTCAAGCCTTAAGTATATTGGGTTTGAATTGAATCTAAATAAGATCGGACCCATTGACTTACTTATTTCGATATATGCTACTACTCTAAGTTTGTGGAGAGTAGTATCGTTGTGAAGCTCTTCCTAGGGTAATCTTTAAAAACTGCCCCTAAATGATAATCTGTTCCTTCGCTATTTCTTCTTTGCTTTTATGGTTTTGAATGCTAAGAGTTAGTTAGGCGCATAGTAGTTCATTCTGCAGAGGATGATTCTGTATTTACTCTAATTATTTATAGGATGTGTTGAAGATCTTTTGAGGTTTGAGCAGCAACACTTCAATAAGATATTTTGACTGCTCGAAGTAAAAGAACAATGGAAGATGCTTTTGATTGGTTGAGACTTGAGAGCGAGGTCTATGTCAGAATTCTCGCGATCGTTTTTTGATCATCAGTCTGGCGTTTGTGGTTCCAAAAGGAGGAAACGAAACGAAGTGATAGTTGGGTAGCATGTCATTTCATTTGGACTTTAAAGTATTTCAAATTTTCATTAGTTACAGATAGTTACAGTCAATTGCAAAAGAAACAATTTCCACCTTTTATCATAACTACTGTTGTAACTATGCTAAACATGTCACTAGACAACTTGTATTGGCCGTGTATAATCAGACTTGTAACTACTACTTTTGATCTAGTATGAGTACACACAACAGCAAAACAGGTACAGTTTAAGCAAGTTCTAAGACTGATGATATTGAAATTAAAAAAAAAACTGATGCTATTGAAATGGAATATTTATCAGAGAATAATATGTGAAAGTTCTGCACAATTCGAGTACAGTATAAGAAAGAAAAAAATCCAATAATACAAACTCATTTTTGGATATGGAAATGCCCAATTTGTGGCGGACACAGAAAGTAGGCCACTTGATAGTCTCTAACTGAAGTTTGTATTATGAGCATTTGGTGCTGTTGGCTGAGCCAAAGCAAATTCAGAGTTGCAACGCAAGTGGCTTAAAAGTACTAAATGCAATTAAACAACAGCGTTCTTGCCCCCTCAAAAAAATCCCTTCTACTAACTTTCAAGTAGCTAAATGGACTAGGATGCTAATCTATCGGAGTGAATACCTCTACAATGACACCAATTAAAGGCATAAAGAATCTGGCACAGCCTGAAGGATTGTTGGAACAGCATTGGTCGCTAGACAACTTGGAATGGCCAAATCAAATCCTCGCTACAAAATATGTATGTTTTGCCATCATTTTCTTATTTCCACAAAGAAGAAGAAGCAGAAGTGTAATAATAAAGACTATTTGATATACAAAATAATTAACCAAGCAGTTGGCTTAATTCAGGATGTTACAACAAATATGGAAATTAACAGTTTTCCATTTGCTGTACTTCAGAAAACGAACCAATTTAGCGAGGTGCCTTCTTCTTTCCAGCAACAGTAACCTTCTTGCCCTTCAGGGTCCGGCAGTTGTTCTTTGTACGTTGCCCTCTACAGGGCAATCCCTGAATATGCCTCACACCTCGGTAACATTGGATCTCCTTTAGCCTCCTAATTGCAAGTGCAGTAGACCTCCTCTACAAATTTTACCCAGATAATCAGGCAGCATTGGCACAGAAAAATGTAAAAAGCTCTAGTCATGCTATGCACAATTTCGAAACAAAATGTACTTGCATTCAAATTCAGCTCTTATTGGTCCTATTTAATAACATGATTAATGATATGGTCATGCTAACGAAAAAGAAAAAACGAAGGGTAACATAAACGAGGATGAGACATGTTATGCAGATAAACTATTTTACATTTTTCGCTTGTCCACTATTTTACATTTGGCTTGTAAACCAGTGAGTCTCCTTGTATTAATGTTGACCACTCAAGATGGGAGTGTTTTATTTCCTTTTCCCTTGTCCTTTATTCCCTTAAATACAGAACAGAGAGATTGCCTGACAACCCTGAAATTTCATTTATAACATGTATATCACAACCTATTAGCACCAGGAAAAGTAGCTTTCTTCGCTTCATTTTGCCCATTCAACCTTTCCAAGTACATTACCTAGTGATTGCAATAGCATTGACATACTATCCATACCCTGCACCTGATTTGGGGGACATTAATTTGACATTTAAATTAATTCTCAAGTACCAGCTTTATACATCAAACTGAACATGTCAATAATAACTACAACATAAGCCCATTTAAAAACCTAATGAATTGATAAGATCTGTCATTCAGGGAGGGATGGGTTGAGTGGTGGTTCGATGGCATAAGTGAAAGATTTCAGATTCGAGATCTTCCACTTACACTAAAAAAAATTTCAAAAAAGATGTGTCAGCCCATAAAAATAAACAAGCAAACGAGCCCATCATGCAACAAGTTGCATTCTAGATAACCATAGCAAGAATAAATAAATCACGCCTTTACCTCATAAAACAAATTTAAAGCTCCAGTGTAAAAATTTCCAAATCCATTTACTAAGGAATTGCATTCTATGGAATTTCTTTAAAGGTTTAATGCAATACAGTTCCAATTCAAACAACAGCCTATGAAGCCACAATTAAGCCAGCAAACTAGCTAGAATCCTTTTAACTGGACCCCTAAAACCCCTCCAAAAAGAAAAGAAAACAGAAAAGAGAAAAATACTACCCTCAACAGATAACAAGAAAAAAAATGTTCCTTCAGGCATTAATTGAAAAGGAAAAGAAAAACATACAAGATCTCCTTCAATCATGTACTTGGAGACTTCTTCACGGAGAGAGGTGAGTTCTTCTTCAGACAAGTCCTTTGTGAATTTGTTGTCCATTCCAAGGTCAACCAGTATCTGCTTAGCTGTTGTACGCCCAATCCCATGAATATACTGCAAAGAAAACTCCACCCTTTTGCTGTTTGGTATCTCCACTCCTCCCACGCGAGCACACCTTATACTCAACCCACCAATCTAGCACCCCAAACAAAATTTAAAACAAAAGTCAACTAAATTATGACAAAAGAGGAAAAAGAACAAAAAAAAAAAAGATAATCGAAGAAATCTACCTTTGGGGGAACTGATGAGGCGGGCAAAGAAAAGGAGCTGGAGGTGCGTTTTGAAGAGGTAGTGTTGCAGATGAGGGAAAATGAAGGTAGTACAGGTACGGCTAGTGATTGTGCCATTTTTTGTATTGTATTTCAATTTGCTATTGATTTGTGGTTTCGAGAGGCAGAGTGGAAAAAAGAGAGGAAGTTTCACGTTTATGAAACTTTCTTATCCTCTCTCGTCAGGAAGGGGAGTAAGGGATCGGGAAAATAACAATTTGGTTCCCAAATTATCTTACTTGTGTCGATTTAGTCTCCATATTTTAGTGTTGACCGATTACATACCTAAACTTAAGATGCAAGTCCCAATTGAGGCGCTCCACCGCAAGGCCACAAGCAAAAATCAAGCGGATGTCAAATTGACCATATTTATAGAGGTATTTTTGAAACATCACTTATGCGGGTGTAATAAAGCCAAGTAAATCGTGCGTTAAAACAACAAATTCAAATTGAGGAGCTTAATTTGCAGATTTTCTCAATTGGAGAGCTAGGGTTCATTGGAAAACAGGAATGTCTCCTCAAATTCCCAAAATTGTGTATAGAATCATTGCAAATGCATCTAGGGAGAAATTGGGCCAAAGCAACATCAAGCTCAGCTAGTGTTTCAAGTAATCCGGGTTCAAATCAATCTGAAACAAGAGAAGAGATTCACCAAGGAAAAGACGAATACTGCAATGGAGATTTAATTGCGTGTTACCACTGTCATGAAGAGTGTCAAATAGTAACCTCATGGACAGAGTCAAATCCTTCAAGAAGATTTCATGGCTACAAAAAATATGGGGTAATATTTTCTCGTAAATATTTCAATTATGAAAATTTAACGAATTTCCAAGAAGTAAACTATGAATAAATTGTGAATGCAGAAACGTTGAGCTTGTATATTTTTTGTGCTATGATCCACCTATATCTCAGAAGATGAAGAATGTAATGGCTTCATTGTTGAGGGACCTTAGAAGTGTCGAGAGAGAAAATGTAACATTGAAGATTGAGATCAGGAAATTGAGAACAAAAGAGAAACTATTATTGATATTGGCATGTGTTTGTTTGTGTTGCTGCATGTTAATTGCTGGTGTGCTTGTTTGCAATGGAAGATAGAAGCAAGGTGTGTTGGACCTGAAGATGCTGCACTAGATTTGGACATTTTCTGGATTTTTTGGATATCGGCTACTAATATGTTTTGGATTTGTAAAAGTTTTGAGGAGAAAGGTGTCTCATTGTAAACTTGAATGTTGAATATGAAAGATGAGCAACCAAGTTCACGAGTTTTTTGGTTTGATATTGTTTGTTCATTGTTTTGGTCGCTATAAACTTGTATTTGTTCTGCCAAAAAATTGACAAAATTTTGCCTGTTTATGGACATTTTCACTTGGCACTAATTCAGCAAAATAGCTAACACATTCACCAAACAAAACTTGTAAAAGGTCTCCCAAAACTTCGATGGAATTTTGCCTATTTATGGACACTTTTAGTTGGCACCAATTCAACAAAATAGCTAACATATTCACCAAATATAGAATGATTGCAGTTGCATTCGAATAGCATAGTCAGAGTGACATAAAAGCTATTTAGAAGACAACCAGCAAGGTATGTCTATCCATGTTATATCATCCAAAACTAAGTGATTCATGTCATATCATCAAAAACTAAGTGACCACTGGTCTTGCTAGTAAACTATTACATGTACTAACAAAAAATGACAAGGAGATTCAACTTCATGACACCAAGTCACCCAAAACTAACTACAGTAGCAAAAATATGATTGGCATCATAACTATTTAAGCTCCAAAACAGATTTTTTCACATTTAGCAGCAGGTAACTGACTGTCTTCAACTTTCTTAAGTACTATTCGTGAAGTTATCTGGCTCACTCAACAGCCTATGCGCTTGCAAATACATATGAAGTGAGAACCAGCAACAGTAATAGTTGATAGTTCAATATTAGATAGAGTTTTTAATGCCAAAAACATACAATTTCTTTTCTCCTTTTGCCTTTTCCCGAAGACACTACAGTAGCCGTCCTGGACCTCCAAGGTTGAGCTTGCATGCAGGGGCAAGTTTTTTGGTTTGGCCTGAAACATGACAAAAAAAAAGAGTAGCACACAGTTCTTAGGATTTTTCTTGAGCCTAATTCTGGAGTAGAGAATTGCACATGAATTGTTTCAGCCATCTCATCAGCTTAGATGTTGACTGTTGAACAAACTTTTCAAATAGTTAGTAAACATCCAATGAAATATAAATTTACAAAATATTCATTTGTGTATACCTGAATTAGACTTTGGGGTTGCAATATTTTTTGAGGGCTACTATTATCTCCATTGAAAGTAGATTCTGCTAAAAATATAAGTACTAGCATAGTAGTTTAATAAAATATGAAATGCAAGAATCAGATTTAATCATACCCTATATATAATTAGGTATTTCTTCTCTTCCATTAATTGGACCAATAGCTGGCTTATAGGCTTTCAAATATGCATCTCTAGAATAACAAGGATTCACAAGGCTCTCTGGCTCATTTCGCTGCAATGAAACACAACATAGAACATATGAATAGGGTATACCAATAAGTTCCCACCACCTGCATGTGCATGTCCTTCTTTTCATATCAACTACAAAAATGCCCCCATACATTTTTGTGACCTCGAATCTGTCATCATTAGCCCATCTTGCAATGTTTGATTTGGCATCACCCTTAGCTTTTTCCAGTTTTTTCATAATTTTGGGATAGATATCTTCGTTCCTTTTTCTCACCTATTTCCTTTTTGTCCTAAGCCTCTCCATAAGATATCACAATATTTTCAAGCATACCAAAAATGGGTATTTCCCTTGCATCTAAAATTACTAAATTGAAACTTTAACATAGGTTGTTGAGAAGAATGTCACATTTGGCTGTGGTCCGAAAATATGTCCTCTCCCAATCGTAAGGTGATATATTATCCACCAACCATTTATGTGCCCTCTCATTATGTTGCTTCAAGGTGTCCATTCCAGCTTCAAATTTATTCACATATGTCAACCTTGCACAGCCCCAAACATGCCCTTTATTGTTTCACTGGGATGATGTTTCTTGAAAATATTGTGTAGATGTCTCACACAGTGCCTATGTTCCACATTTGGAAGAATATAATGCATGGTTGAACCCAATTCCTGCTATGAATAAATGCAATCAACTAAGCAATCATGAAATAATAGAGGAACAAGAAACTTAAAAAACTTTTTAGGGTAATAAGCACTACCTTTTGCCGATTACTGATAAACGTTCATCTGCTCTGGTCATGGATGCTAAGATCAAATTTCAAAAACTTGATAAACCAATTCCAAGAGCTCTTATTTTCTACCTCGACCACTGCATATGCAGCAAGATAGATGCAATCATTTGCATCAATCCCTACGGCTGTCTGGAGAATTCTTGGGTGTGGACCATGTAGATAGCAGCCATCTCCACCAAGCACAGGTCTATAGCCAACTTTGTAGCCTTTTTTCAAGCTTGCAAAGCAAATATACAGCTTTTAGAATCTCTCCTTTCCACTAAGCTCATCAATCTCTGTCTCTAGTAGAACCTAGATTTGATCGCAAGAGTTCCTCACAATAGTCCCACATTTTTTTGTACTATTTCTTCAAGTTTACTTGGATCCACACCTTAGCCTTTGCAAATGTCTTGTGAACATGATCTTTTGTAATATGCACATTCAATTCTTAATGCACTTTTCCTTAAACTCTCTAACTGTAATCTTCCCATTCAACTGCAAGAACTTCTTGTAATGTACACTTAGGAATCCTAAGTTTGCTAGCTTATGGTAGAATGCCCTTCCACATTGATGTTCTAGCCCTATGATTCATATGACAAAGGCATCACTATTTGGTTCCTTAGTAGCATAAGCGAACCATTTGCACTTGACATTCTTGCATTTTGCCCTTATCATTCTTTTTCTGACCATGGTCCTTGCCCCACATCACCTCATAGAAGTCAGTTGCTTGCTTGAACAACTTCTTTGTGTCAAACAGTAACCCAATAAAAAATTTTGGGTCCTTCATGCCAATTCTGATCTGAACCGAACATATTTTGGCTTCTTTGGTGCACTAACTTCATTCAAGGACCCATAGTGGCTATTTAACTCCTCTGTGCTCATTGAGTCTGATTCTTCTTACAGAGGAATCTGCTTTCCATCATAAATGTTGAAATCAATAGCAAAAGTGACTTTTACTTATGCATTTTCTTACTTAGTGTGTGTGCTTTTTTCCTCTTCCATTTAGCAATTGTTCTTGAACTTTTTCCCTAAATACCAGCCTCGACATTGCCAATCTGATCTTCAAGTGACATATCAACATTTGATGTATAGTTCTTGTATATCATGTCATCCTCATCTTTGCTGAAGTTATAATCACTGTCATGAAATCTTTTGCAACCATCATCACTATCACAGCCTCATCATCATCTTCTACAGTTTGACTACCTCTCGTTTTGCCCTTTTTCTTTTTACCCTCATCAACTTCTTCAACTGTTACATGAACTAGGAGTTCATCATTCCAAAAGAAGTCGTCAAATGTCATGTCTATATGGAACAAGTCTTCATATGCTTTCTTAGCAGTTGAGCAACCCTCACTAGCATCATATTCATCTACTTTCATCAACAAGTCTTCAATTTTAGCAATTGAGTAACCCATACTAGCTTTCAAAAATCTGATATGAAACTCATGGACTACATAAAGTTCAACTTTATCACTGTGTTTACCTATAGAAGCCATATCCCAAACATCCTTCCCAACATGTACTTCTCCAAGTCTGAACTTGCCATCTATTGTAGGGATTCTATACATGTATATAGAATCTTTAGGACACTTAACATATGCACAGTAAATCTTTATAATTTCCAAGTTTAGTCTCATGGAAATAACCCCTCAAAAGCTCCATGCTACCCCTTACGTATTTTTGTTTTTTTTCTTCGACATAAGCCCTGCCATAGTAAATGGCCATATTAAATGCATCCAAGTGTTCACTTGTCATATTTTGCAAAAAATGACAAAAGAAAAACATATGTTAAACCTTTAGCAACACATGCTCATGTTTGCCTTTTTAGGAACATGAAAGTAACCTTTCAAATTAACTCAAATTAATTTAAGCCTTAGGGACCACATGAACCATCTTTTTTCAAGGAAAAACATAAAAAAAAATAAGTTTAAACATTTCTGATTTCTCAGCAGTTGATCCCATCTGAGTAATGCAG